TCACATCATCACATTATCATCGCCATCATCATGGCCATCATTATCACTATTGCGTCACTAGAATCGCCCATCCATCATCATCATCATCATCATCATTGGCAACAACTTTTCTCTCTCTCATCACTGTCTGTGTGTGGCCATTACCGTCGGGCACTGGCTCACTCACTCTCACTCACTCACTCAGTCACTGTCATTAGTCGGCTAGTCAATTATATTCTGATCTCCTCCTCGTCAATTGATATTAAACCGTAATACTGTATCATCCTAATTCATTCGGGGACATTCACTCTCCACTTTCACTGAATTTAATCAAAATAGACTAGACTAGACTAATTCACTACAACTCAAAGTGCTCTATTGATGATAGTGATGAGGAAGGTGGCGGCGGTTGAAGTCCTCCACCACTATTGCTGCTTCCAGAGACATCGATTCTCCCCTCCTTCATTACTTCTTCCTCCACCTCTTCCAGTTCCTCTTCGCCCACCTCATTGGGCTGACTCTTCTTCGAGTGGACCTCATTGGACTGCTCCGTGTCGCTGATGTAGGCGGCATCGCCCACGTAGTGCGTCGGGCTGATGATCAGCTGCTTCAGACTGAGCGCATTCAGGCGCTGTACCCTCCTGTCCGTGCCTCCGCTGCTGTACACCTCGCCCAGCGTCAGGTTGGGGTGGCTGCCGTACAGCAGCGGCAGGTACTCGTCCACGGGGATCATCCTCCCCAGAGGACTGGCTCCGAGCAGCTTCTCAATGCCCGACCGGGTCACCAGGTAGCCGATGGTCCAGTAGGAGTAGCCCGGACGGACGAAGGTCGAGTCGACGGTCTCCTCCGAAGCAGGGTCGCCATTCAGCTTCCGACCGAGGTACAGAAAGTCGTACTGAGCTCCTCTTTTTTTCGACTGCAACTCCTCAAAGCGAGCCCAGGCGGTGGCCCACTTGGCGCGAAAGTTGCGCTCAAAACGGACGTCGTCCTCGAGGATGATGATCTGCAGGGGAAAGTAGATGTGATGAGATAAAGAAATGAACAAAGTGCATTAAAACTACTCACCGCCGAATAGTTTTTCCTCTTTGCCTCCTCCCAGATGCGGTAGTGCGAGAGGAAGCAGCCAATCTCGCCGAAGGTCATCGGTCGCTGGTGGTACGGGTCGAGGTATCCCTCGAGTGAGCTGATGCGGTGCCGCTCCAGGTACTCCTCACTGAGCACCTTCCCGTCGGTGGCATCCCAGAAGGTCGCCTTGATGTTCAGCAGCGCCAGGGTGGCCTGCATCCGCCGCCGTCGCTCCGGCCTCCGCCGCAGGTTGATGACGTACACTGCGTCCACGCCCAGCCTCTCATGCTCGCCCTCGTGGACTGGCTCGATGTACGCCTGCAGCGTGCTGGCCACCGGGAATGGCCGCCCCTCGATCAGCGCCTCCAGCTGCAGCTCAAGTAGTGTCTGCCGCAGTTGGGCGTCCTCCTTGCCCGAGTCGGAGGAGAGCGGCGGTGGGATGTACCCGTAGACGTGACGATTGTCAATGTACAGCTCGATCCCGGCCTGCAGAGCGGAATGCTGGTTAGTGAGAACTCAAATCAATCACTGTTTACTTACAGCATGTGCCGACTTGGCGAATGCGATAATGTCATCGTAGGGGATGGTGTGTCTGCCATCCGCCGTCACCGAGTCTTCCACCTCCACCGGATCAAAGGTCAGTCGCCGGCTGAGCCGCTTTCGGGCGTCAATGAGCACCGCCGTGTTGACCATGGGCACCGGGAAGGTGCCCAGCTCCTCTTTCCGCTCCAGAATGGGCAGGTACTGCTCAGTGCGCACGTAGTACCCCTTCTCGTCCATGCCGCCCCAGAAGTTTGAGTACGTCCCGGTGGAGTACAGCAGCGGGGCCACCACCACCCGCTCCCGGTCCTCTTCGAATCGTGCCGTCAGATTGGCGAGTGTGTACGGCTCGGTGAGCACCACATCGGCGTCGAGGAAGAGGACAAAGTCTGCCCAGGAGGTGAAGGCGCCGTACAGCTCCTGGTTCTTGCTGTCGATCAGCAGTTTGTACCGCTCCGCCGTCCAGTACTTGCCCCCGCTCGGCTCGGTGTTGAAGAGGTGCTCCGAGAGGCGGACATTGCTCACCGTCAGCTCCAGTTCGTTGTACAGTGGTCGCTGTTGTCGTGCCCACCTTCGCAGCATCTCAATGCTCTCATCGTTGGCCCGGATGCGCTCGTCCAGCACCTCAAAGCGGGCGTCATTGTCGTCGAGGTAGGCTCCCGTCCCGGCGCCCAGCGATTCAAAGTAGGACTCTTCGTAGAAGATGCGCTC